AACACGGTCCAGTTTATATCAACCGAAAAATGCTTACACTCCACGCGTGATGTCACCAGGCCATGTCACCAGGCCATGTACCATGTTACCACCAATGGCAGTCGTCCAAGCCAACTGGACCATTACTGATGGGGTCACAGTGTGCTTCAACACTTGCGGCTGACGTGTATTGTTACTGGACGACTAACGTCCAGCCCATGCATCCGACATCGCCAGCGGGACGTCGCCATCGTCTCCGACGCGGCGACTTCCGCATCAGCCTCCACAATGGTGCGGATGTAGGCCGGAGCGTGGTTCCGTCTCGATTTCATCAGCGCTCATAAACGGGTAACGAGCCCCCGACGACCGCGGGGCCCTAGGTCGCCCCCGGTGGGGCTGGAGCTGAGGGGATGGTCGCCAGCGGCTGGTCGAGGCCGCGCGGTGCATGTCATCGCTTTATGGCAGTTATCATCCGACGAGGAGAGGGATTAGGATGAGATCGCTTCCTTGAATTTACAAATTGGCTCTGAGGCATACGTTTGCTTGAAAAACAAAATAAATTCACGAGATCTTGCAATTTCGCTGATGCGTTAAATGCGACAAAGACTAGTGCGATAAAAAATGCGATGCGACACAGACTCACTGAGGATTAAGTAAACTATGCGCATTCATATATGTGAGATGTATGGGGCCGAGTGTCACCGCATTCGAAACTGATTCCGCAATTGAGACCTTTGACGATTGAACACAACAGGCACGTTATTTCATACATCAATCGGGTTCTACTCGGACTCATTGAAAAAAATATATCTGGTCTAGATTTGGATCCGCATTCAATTCTAACTGAATGTTTCGTAACTGGAGTAAAATGTCTTTAAATCTATGACCCAGATTCGGGATTAACGCTTCACAAAAATAAAACAAGGTTACGTAAGCTGTTAAAAATATATTCGCGAGGAACGTTATTTACCTAGATAAGACAGCTAAGACGTTAAAAAATATTACTATGTATCTCTATTCATCATTCTATATCTTCATTCTCCTGGTTTTTGACCGAGAAATGAAGTTATTAATACTACATTATCTATGACAATAAAACAAGACTCAAGTACGACTCGACATAACCCCGAACCAACACGTGACGTGGAAATGCTTGACATAAACACGAATTCAGATTCGAATTCGGACCTAGTCACAAGCTCAGATCCATGAAGCCATCACTTGGGCTCGAACTCAGGTTTTTGGACTGGGACGTGTGTTTGCCATACAAGTGGGCGGTTTGCCTTCAAGTTGAACGCATGTATATGACGGAAGCATACTCTCATCGGCAGCCGACTGGTTTATGTTAAAACCCTGTGCAAACCATGCGGAATGTTTGGTGCACACATGCGTCAGGCTCAAATAGAAAATACAGCCTACGTCTGCTCAGCCGGAGCTATCGCCTGCGGAGGTGCGCGTAGAAACAGGTTGCACGTGTTATGCTTGACTGTTGGCTTTTCAGAATTTTCTCGCTTTTGTCAGCTTTGCACCTTGATTTTCAGTAACTCAGCGTAGTATCGTGAAGAAGCAAGATATCAGGCCAATATTAAGATAGCACAAGGACCCAGAATCTTTATAGGAAAACAAGATAGCCCAGAGACTAATTCGCATAGCAGTGTTTGCATCTGGCAAGTTGACCATTGCTCAAAGGAAGGTTTACGTTATCTTATCAAACTGTACTTTCTCTGAAGTCACTGGCAAGGCTGACATTGAGCATGCGAGGCACACTTTATAGGAAAGGTGTCACCTAGCAGAAGGCTTCATGCAGGAATAACAGGATTTCTTCACTTGACGTGCCTGCATGAGGAAGGACATGGCTGTGGAAACGGTAAGTGTCGCGCGTAGCTCCTTCCATGATGGTGGTAGTCCGAATCCCGGCGTGGTTTAATGTTGGAGGACCAACTACCGTTTCTATAATTAGAAATCATCAAGCAGCAGGTACGACTTACTCTTAGCCTATTCCGAGGTTACGACCATTCGGGACTTGGATTCAATCCAGGAGTGAAGTGATTCATTTGCCAGGCGAATCAAGGTCCCACTCAGCGTCACCAATTTAAAGAAACGGCAACTCTGAGCCCGGACCCAACTCAAGCGAATGAAAGAGGATCAGACGCTTAGCAATATTGTGAAAACCTAGGGTTTGGACATAGTCTCTAACTCGAATGGAAAGTAATATAGATTTCAGCACGCGAAACGCGCAGCGACTCTGATCTGTTTAATCTCGGACGGGTTTATCCTAATTTCCCTGTTATGTGCTCCCTTTAGACTCAGTCAGGCTTATTTAGCTTCGCCATGGGCCGCAATCAGCGTTGGGCATCCCCTCATGTAATTTTATCCAATTGCATGCGCGGATAACCTCCTTTTCTGTGAGAAGCAAACCGCGGAATGGAAAAGGATGCGAAAAGAAAAAGGTAAGAGGAGCAAAGGCGAAAGCAACAAATAATGAAAGCTTTAAAAATCTGAAGCCAGTGGCTGATGCGCAGCCTCCCACTACGGGTCCTCCCAATGTTACGTGCTATTCGAAATGTTTTTCTTGTAAATAAAAATTAATATAAGTATAAGATGCTACAGTAATGATGCTTAACTGAAACAAAAGTCTGCTGAAACAGCACCACTCGCTGTTCTTTGCCAACCCATTTTTCAATAGCATTATGGTTATTATTTCTGCCACTTTTCAAATCCTTGAGCCTTACAAACTTGTTCAGGCTTGTGCAGCATGATCGTTGGACCAGCCTCAAAACAAAAGCAGGATTGATGGAAACACTAGTGCCACCAAAGCTGCGACTGCAGCGACGACAGTGTAATCACGTTAACGGACTAACCATGGCTGAATGCCACCCAAAGCCGTTCATCCTCTCGCGAAGGCCGCCCGTCGCCATGGCCACGTTGATCGCCATGTATCCGGTACGCCTCCGCGCTCTGTTACAGGCAGACTCTGCCCCTGCTGCTGCTACTGTCCAGCGCCGCCGCCTGCCCGCCCGGCCTCGGCCTCGGTCTCGGCCAGCTCAACGACGACATGCTGGCGCCGGAGCCGGCCGCCGGCGGGCCGCGGCCACAGCACAAGCTGCTGGCGTGGGTTTACCAGCCGGACCCGACGCGCGGCGGCCTGCTGGCTGACGCGCTCTGGCCGCCGGGCGCGGCCGGCTGGCCCGAGGTGCCCTTCTACCTGGCCTCGGACGCCGACGAGGGCGTGCGCGAGGCCTGGGAACACGGCCGACGGCACTGGGAGCACCACACCTGCATCCGCTTCAGGTAGGCGAGGCCGAGCCGCCAGCGGTTCAGCTGTGATTACCACACTCGCACAGGCCAGAAGGACAACAAAGCCGTCCGAGTTTCGGTTGCGCGAGGCTAATTCTGTGGACGGTTGGGTAGAAGCAGTCAGATCCATCTCATATGATTTGAGGTTGGATGAGCCCAGTGCTGGGTATAACTCGGCAGGATGGGTAGAATGTTTGGGCACCGATTAGCAAAAGAGGCTTTCAGAGATCTGGGCGCGCAATTTGCTCGCCCAGATCCTTGCGTTACGCACATTCGACCAAGTTATTTTTGTCTCACGACGCCACCGAGACACCATAGCAGCATGCCCAACCGAGCGTGACTCCGTCCCGATCCGGGCCCGCCGGCAGGGAGGTGGAGCACGACTCGTGGGTCAACTGCAGCCATCCCAGCCGCCAGCCGGTGGTCTGCGTGCAGGGCTCGCCCGACGGCTGCTACTCGGCCGTAGGTCGGCAGCAGCTGCCGTCGCGCCGCCGGCCCGGCTGGCTGCGGCCGCAGGTCCTCAACCTCGACCCCAACATGTGCAAGCAGACGTCGGTGATCCACGAGATCGGCCACACGGTCGGCCTGGCGCACGAGATGTCGCGGCCGGCGGCGCGCCGCCAGCTCAGCGTGAACTTCCACCACATGCGCCTGTCGCGCCACCTCTGGGCACAGTCGCAAGTGTGCGATCTGACGGCGCCGCGCGTGCCGTACGACTTCCTCTCCATCATGCACTACGGCACGTTCGCCGGCAGCCGCGACGGCAACGCCGTGTTCGTGACGCGCAATCCGCTGCACCAGCACCTCGTCGACCACAACGACGACGTGCGCTTCGTGCCGGGTCTGCCGACGCTGTCGCACCTGGACCGCTACGTCATCAACACCGAGTACGGCTGCGTGCGACTATGGGCGCGGCGGCGCTGCGGCGGCCGCGCGGCGCCCTGTCAGAACCTCGGCTACATGGGCGCCGGCTGCCGCTGTCTGTGCCCTCGCAGCCACGGCGGCGCGCGTTGCCAGACGACGGTCGGACCGCCGTTCCCGGCGCCGCGCTGCCTGCGCGCCGTGCGGCGGCCGGCTGCCTTTAGGCTGGGCGCCGCCGGCCTGGCCGTGCGCCACGAGTACCGGCCCGAGTCGTGCACGTTGCTGCTGCGCGGTCCGGCCGGCACGCAAGCGCGCGCCTCCGTCGACGCCGCCACCTACTTGGCGCAGGCGCTGGCCGGCGTCGCGTTCGAGCGGCTGGCGCGCGACGCGTGCAGCCTCGGCCTGTCGGTGCTGGTGCTGCCCGGCGCCGCCGGCGACGGCCGCACCGAGTGTGCCGACGCGCTGGCCGCCGCACCCGGCCGCGCGCTGCGGGTGCCGCACCGCAACGCCACGCTCTACGTGCGCCTGTACCAGGTGAGCAGCCGGCTGGGAGTCGCGCTGCGCCGCGTGCACGTGCGCGTCACGTTCGACGCCGACGCCGGCGCGCTGCTGCGCGTGCGCCGCGTCAACCGCGCCGCCCGCGTGCTGCGAGTGCTGGGCGCGTACCCGCGCCGGCTTCACGACCTCCTAGCTGATCAATACGGCGGTGGCAGCACGGGGAGACCAGGCGTCAGCGCCCCCGCTGTGCGAACGTCGCCCAACCCCGCCGCAGTCGCCGCCGCCCTGCTTGCGCTGGTCGTACGCTGGTCGTAGCGGAGGCCGACGCCCGATCCTGTGTTGTTGTCGTGTTTGAATATAGCGTGTCCGGAGCAGCGTTTATTACAAAAGTGGTCCAAACGAAGTCCGCGGGACTGGAGCTAGAGTGCAGGAGACAACCACCGAACGATAGTTGGGCCCACCACGAGTGCACTATAGAGTCTACCTCACACCGCACACTGCACATCTCCAATGAACGCGGGTCCGAGACAAACACACGACACTGAGAAACTTAATACTATGCTTTCCACCGACCTCGAAGATCCCCTCCATGGCCGAAGTCTACATGCCATGGAGGAAACGGCCTCCCTCAAACAGTGGCGATGTTTGCTGAATTTCAACACGGCCTCCACTTTTTGTGCAGCTCAAATCATCTCCGCGCCGCTGAATCTTTGCGAACATCGCAACTTCTTGAAGGCCAGTCAAAGCCCGACCACAAAGGCGGGCACCAAAACACGGCGCCGTGTCCTCTCACAGATTGCGCGGGCGCGATCAATGTCGGCTTCGGAGCCGCTGACTGGGCAGGCCTCCGTTCACGACACCAAAGCCCCGCCACGCTAGGCTGAGCCCTGTGTAAGGCCTCAGTGCCGGCGCCGACGCCGGCGTCAAAACTCTCAGTCCCTGGAATGCGGCGGTGCCCACACGCGAACGCTCCAAAAGCCGTCGGTGACTCTAGATCAGGCGAGAATCCGTTCTAAAACGAGCGACGGGTCACGGTCCGTTGAAGAATCCTTGGAAGACGGCCGTGGGTTTCACTGAATGTTGGCGCTGTCTTCGCAGACTACGTGAATGGATCTGAATGACCCAGGCTCGCCCACGCAGTCTCTGAATATATGTGGCAGCTGTGGCCACCGGCGTGCTTCTCCGACCAGTGGTCGCCAGCTCCCGCCTGACAGCGCACTCCCAGTGCTAGTGCACAATCGCGTCCGCCCGCTGATCACTGCACCGTGCCGCCGGCAACGGCACCGCAGCAGCGCCACCTGCGTCCGCCGACTGCGCCACCTGCGTGGGCCTGCGGCGCCGCAAGCCGGGCCCGGCGGCGCCCTCTACACCACACGGCCGGTGCGGAGCTGGCCGGCGTTCTTCAGGTTCTGCTTCATCGTCTGCTGCCGCTTCTCCTGACAGTCGTGGCAGACGAACGCGGCGCCGAAGCCCAGGCTCTCGATGCATTCTGGAAGGGGAGCGACGCATGTCAAAAGCGAACGGGGACAGTTCGTCGCATGACGCGAACGTCTGCATGCTGACTACACGAACGTACATGCCCACAAATGACCGCGGGAAGGAGGTTTACAAGTTACATCACTGACCATACCTAGATGCAAAACGCAGGGGTCATTTCGGCTATTGCTTGGTAGTAGAAGCGACCCAACAGCAGTGAATAGTGAAGCCATTAATGATAACATCACTGATCGGGCCGCATTCCATGCAATTGCCCGAAGGTAAGCACGGGAACGGGCCTCACGGGCCACAGTTCGAAGAACCCTGTATAAGCAGGCCAGCGTCCTACCGTCCCTGTCATGTCAGGTCACATACCCCTCCCGGTTCACCCGCCTACAGTCCCCGCCCCTCACGTCAGGTCACCGTTCTACAGTCCCTGTCACGTAAGGTGACATACCCCTCCCGGTTCACACGCCTACTGTCACTGCCCGTCACGTCACGTCACCGTCCAATAGTCCCTGTCACGTCAAGTCACAGACTCCTCCCGGGTTACCGTCCGACAGTCTCCATCGCGTCAGGTCAGGTCACAGTCCAACAACCACTGTCACATCAGGTTAGGTCACAGACCCCGAGCATCACCGACCGCCCCGCCCTGAGCAGTTAGCGGTCATCGCTCTCGAGCGGTGCGCAGTAGGACCAACTATATACGGGGAACCGGTTCGTATCGATTCCATCGCTCGATTCCGCGCCCGCGGACAGCATCTCAGCGACGCCATGAATTCACTGGGGCAGGGCAGCGCCCGCGCTCGGAACTAACGAGGCCAGTGCCAGGATCATTTGATCACGCTCGGAGCCAGATCGCCTTTAATGGCGCACGATGCCCCGCGCCGCCGGCGCAAGTCACTGCCAGGGGGCTGTGGCGTATTCGTCTCTGAGAAGCCTGCGCTTGGCGCCAGCTTTACAGAGCGGAGGATTGGTGCCGCTTCACAACCTTCGCGGACTCCCGGTTGTCATTATCACGAGGGCTGTGCACGTGACCACCACTGCTTGTGGCTGCTCCAATCTGACGGCAATAAACGCAGCCGGCTTGTCTTCCGCGCGCACACTGTAACGGTTATTAATACGCATACCAAGAAACACGGAAGGGCCCGTGACTAGACACACAGTTGATAAATAATATTAGCAATTTCCCCTGACACTATATGGCACGCCAAAATGTTGAAAGCAGCCAGCGTCGCAAAGCAGCCAGTAAGTCTTATGACCAGGAAACTGGGTTATAACACGTACTGGTTGAGAAATTCCGCACTAACGGAGACAGCTGATGGTGGTATAAGCAATGTGAAAGGTAATAAGAAGTAATTGGCACGCACTCTAGCGAATGTCGAAAGCTTGCAAGTGGCATATCAACCAGTAAGCTTTCACAAATTTCAGTCCAGACAAATCTTGCATTAAAATGTCCGTCAGCTCAATGCGTAAGGCTTCCACAGAACTGTCCATATTTGGCCATATCGTGTTTCCAAATGGATTTATGAATGTTGGACGCGTGTTAAGATGTTCCTTTCCCCTGCAGGACGTTCTGGTTGTCAGAAGCAGCTTCTCTGACCTCAGATCGGAGCAGATCGGGTCGAGTCGGGTCGGGTCGGGCATATCCGGTCGGATTATTCCACCAGCGAACGATAGATACTGCGGGGCCCATTGGACGTGCTAGGTTCGCAGCCAGGTGACCATAAAATAGACTATAGAATAGTTACTAGCCCGCGCGCATAATCGGTAGAAGAGGACATCACGGACATCTGGGGAGACGAGCGTACCTGGGCGCACTGATCTAACCTTGGCGCATTCGGAGCCGTGACGAGGCAGGATCTCGGGCGCCACAAGGGCAGCCGACTGCCAATAACACCGACAGCCCAGTTCGGGGTCGGCCAGGAATCCCGCACGGAAAACAGGAACGGCCCAGAGCCCGACCGTTGAACCGCGTCATGCCAAACTGGACAGGCGGCGCTTTTTGTGGCCTGAGGACGGGACCGCTGTCCGTCTCTGGCTGCCGAGTCGTCTTCGTCTCGGTGACCCGTGCTGGACCCATTGGCCGGTGAGGGGTCATCGCACCGGCCGCCCGGCTTCTCCACGGGAGGCGCCCAGTCCGACAGCGCCGGTCAACGATCCGATCGGGTGGAGCGCCCGGCGGTGCACATTAGGAGGGGTCATTCTCTGCCGCGCGAGCACGCCCCGGACGGCGTCCGAGCGGTCAGACAGGGCCGCCGGCGGCGGGGGCCTCCTGCCCGGCCCCGCGCCCACCTCGACCCCGGGGGAGGTCAGAGCCCCGGCAGGGTCGCCAGCCGCCGAAGGTCACGGCACAGAGGCGGCGCCTCCCCGGGCTTCGCCGCCGCCGATGCCAGGGGAGGCCCGGCGCGCCAAGGTGAACCGGTGTCATCTGCCGACGGCGGCGGGCCCGGCGGCGGACAGCGGAAGGACGCGGCCTCCTCCGCCTCCGCCACACACGGCCCTACACCAGACGGGATCTATATGGGGTCCCGCCCGCCAGCCAGCCGGCACAGGCCGGGGACGGGCGGCGGCGCGGAGGCACGCATCGCAGGCGCGGGGCCGGCACAGAACCGGCTGCCGACCTCGTGGTGGCGCGAGAATAGTGAGGAAGGTTGCCATAGGGCGGTCGATTCATACAGGTGGATATAAGCTTAGCGTCCGCATCCGCTCTTTCTGGGCTGACTAATCCGCATACTTGCCAAGGGCATAGAACCGTAGGAAAAAGTGGGAAGCCGAACCTCATGTTCCTAATCAAAAGCCGATTAATTCCCCGTACCGTCATGGCGCCGCTGTTAAGTCTCCACCAAAAACGGAGGGCTAGTGCCACCCCTCTTCCCTAAGCCTATAATGAATGTACAACACCAACCTGCCCGAACACTGTGAAGTACGTGGGTCAGTGAGCTGATACTGCGTGAGTGAGACAACGCAGGACATTTTCACACATGCCTTTACACAAAGATTGATACGCGACACATATGGAAACATTCCGATCGAGTTCATCTGATCGCGAGCTACGCCCATATCGAACCATGTGTCACGTAAGAAAACAATCACCATCCCCCAATAGCTCAACAGTAGGCGGTGAAAGCGTGCGGGATATAAGCGACCAGCTCGCGTGGGAACGTTAGTACACGCGCTGTGTGCTCAGAGCTTGCCACTCCTCCCATAACTAATTGAGCTTCCTAGCCATAATGAGACCAATCATGTGCCGCTAATGAAGAAAACAGAACAAACACGCGCCACTGTACGCATGCAACTTTCTATCAGTTAATGCTGTTCGATCGGGCGGCAGTTGGGTCGACGCCAGCCGGATTAGCGTACGAGGCGTAACTGGTCCGCCGGTCGAGAGCACCCCGTGGTGGTAGGAATCTGCAGTCCTGCTGTCAGCCGCTGCCCATGTCACCAGTTGGCTTCCGGCTTCAGGGATGCCAAGGCTAAACTCTCGCAGAAATGCACGTTGATGTAAGAGAAACGCTCCTGTTGGGTAAGCCAGGGTAGCTATGTGAGAGGATGAGACAATCATTGCACTAATCAGTGCGAAAGCCTATCGATCATTGCTAAGCCCCCCCCCCCCCCCGAGTACCACATGTGTTGTCGGCTTCAAGTTACAAGTTGAGTCCACCGACAGTCGCACGCGACTAGCCATCCGGGATTTCACTGTCGTCAACTATCGGTACACTGCACTGCAGTGAACATATGCCGTTGTGTGCTGCATGAATCAGTCGGAATGATCGTCTGGGTAAGGGGATGGTGCATCTATCACACCTAGCTGATAGCTCTCCTCTCACTGAAACCAGATTGCACCGGCCGACCTGAACTCCAACAGCTGCCGAGGCACCCACACGTTACGCGGCGGGTTGGGCGGGAGGAATGCGACAGCGCAGGGCTTGACTCGCGTTTGGTGCTAGGCGCGGGCCGCGCATCGAGAGCGCGGTCCCCACAGCAGGCTCCCGGCGGCTCCTGCCGAACGCCCCGTACTTATCCAGACCATTAATGAAGCGGAAACGTACGTGCTGCATACCATGCTGCCGACATGAGCACAGGAAAACAGCCCTAGTCAGAGATGTCCTCACCAAGAACGGAGAGTGCAGCAATTTGTGCAGGCACAAGATCGCGATCACGCAATGCCCGTGTACCAGTGTTTGAAAGTCCTCAGACATGAAAAATGATGAAGCCTCGAAGCATTGTTTTAAAACACGTGCCTATCGCCACGCGAACAACCCAACACTATTGACCTTTTTGTAGTGGGCATGACATTGGGAGAACTGAAGGCTGGTGAAAACATCACTATTAATTACGCCGTTTCACGGCCATCTGTAATGGCACGTTCCAGACAGAGGCGCGCGCAGCAAGGACGGTGTGGTAATTGATACCCCGGGGGCTGACGTCGCGGAGCGGTGCTGCCTGGCGCGCCAGCGGTCTACAAAACATGCCCCTCCGCGTCAGGGGAAATTGCCCGACTCTCGTCCGATGAGCGTGAGTGAAGTCTGCCCCTCCGGCACCCCTGCAGCGGATGTTTTCCCTTCCCAGCGCCAGCGATACCGCGACAGCCTGGTCATGAGACTTCCACCAGCGTGTGGATACGTCTGTTCTCTCGGATGCATGAGGTTGCGCCATAAATCGCCTAAAAAGACCTCTGATTGAGGTTCCACGATGTGACAAGCGTGCAGAAAAGCAATTATGAAGATAAGATGGCGCCAGTAAACCTCCGCTAGCCATTGGAGGCCTCTGTTCCGACCAGTGAGAGTCCGAGCCGTTCTGGGCAAAAAGTAGATGGTGTGCACCGTTGCCATAATGGAATTCTTAGGGAAATACTGGGGGTCTCGTACAGACAATGCCCAAGCGATTTTAATCTTTTGACCAGCCCCAGCCCATTTTGTACGATCAGGTTGCAAGCTCACTCCTAGGCACTGCTTCATCAGAAGGATATACGCTGCTCAACTTAACGCAGCCTCTTTGCAGCACGTCTCT